CCACTGAATCATACTCAGACTTAATGCTGACAACAATGAAACCACTTGAGAGAGAACTGCCAGGAGATTTATTTCTTAGCATAAAAGAGGACAATGGTACAAGAGGAATACCAAATTATTGTTTTAAGTGTGAAAATATAGCAGAAGTAGCACCAACGTTCAAAAACAATGGACTTGTGAAAAAACCCCTGAAATAATCAGGTCTTCACTTTAAGCTTTCATTTAGTGATGAGTGAGTTTTTGCTAGAAAAAGAGCCGGAGAAATACTGTGAAAGTGTCTCAGAGCTGATGTGATATGAAGACCATGTGAATCCTCATGTTCTGTTGTTTGCTGCTTTTGTAAAATTAATCCCCGGGAAACAAATGTTAGTATGTTTAACAGGTCATAGACACTTATCCTTTATAATTTAATTAAATTCTAATTTAAAATAATCTTGTCGGTTAACGGTTAACAATCGGTTAGCCAGCGTCGGTTAGGAAAAATAAGCGAAATGAACCTAGTCTGGAGTTGATTCTGAGTGTGATCTGCGTTTGCAAGCTGTTGCTGTGAAGCACATCATGCGGTCAAAGGATCTCTCCATACAAGTGAAGCAGACGATTGTTAGGCTTCAAAATCAAAACAAATCCATCTCTGCTGATGTCCATGAGTTCCAGACGCAAGGCAGTCATTGCCTGCAAAGGATTCTCAACAAAATACTAAAAATGAACTTTTTATTTATGATTATATTTATTTGTCCAATTACATTTGAGTCCCTGAAAATGGGGGACTGTGTATAAAAATGGTTGTAATTCCTAGGGATTTCATGTTATATTTGTGTTCAACCCTTTGAATTAAAGCTTAAAGTACTTCAATTTCATCTTGATTGATACGGGGTCGAAATTATGAAAATTGTGTCCGTGTCCAAATATATATGGACCTGACTGTATGTGTCACTTTTGATATCGATTAGCTTAACAGCTGAACTGAATTTCAAAAGAATGCACAAATTCGCAAGGCTCTGGGAATCAGGTGTACCTCACCTGCAGGACACACTCGGACACCACGTCCTCGGGAAGCTCTGGAAACTGTTGCCGCAGGTGACGCAGAACCTGGTTGTCAATCTGCTGGTTTCCCTGTGCCATTCGTCTACAACCAAAACAGAGCGGACTTGACCACGGCACTCGCTCACACGCACTGGCTTAGCATCTTCTGCAATCAAGAGAGGAGAGGACAGGAGAAAACCACATTAGTGAGTCCATTATATAATCAATCACTCTAGGAAAGACTGAAGAGTTGGACTGACAAGAGCTACTAATGTGTTTGCCAACTCTATTTAAAAACAGCCTAATTTTACAGATTACATACGTCTTTAAGAACGTACATTCTCATCTTTTTCATTTACATTGCTGTTCATGGGATTTTGTGCTTTCTCTAGAAATTGACAATTAAAAATGAGGCTTCTCAAAGTTGTATAAAAAAAGGTGTAATTTCTGCGCCATTAAAGTAAATGTTTCCACAGAGGTTTTCTGAACATACTCCCTGTATTCCATTGGTCAGTCCAAGCAGATGAACCCGCCCCAAACTCACTCTATTGGCCGAGCAAAGGCTGTTGTGTTGGGCTGGTCATGGATTGAATGTTACAATCTAATCATCTAATTAAAACTACACAAATGCATATTCACAAAAAAGTTTAAAAATGGTACGCAGTTCATTATTCAGACACGGTACGGGCAAGTGTGACCGCAGATATCTCTGCTGAGACGCTCGTAGCAGAAATGGTTTTAGCAGCTGCTAAAATATAATTCCACGCTTGAAGCAAACCAAAAGAGCAATAGCAGCCAAGTCACATTACATAATGAAGAGACATCATTGGTTTATATCAGTGTTGTCAAAAGTACCGACCGCGATACCATTCGGTACTGAAATTTTAAATACTCCCAATTCCCGCTAAGCTTTGAGCGCTGTTGAGCAGATTCTTAAACAGCGCTGACTGGTCATAGTGAAGCAATTATCACCGAAGCCAATCACAGACGTATCTGTTGAGCGCGTGAACACTACGACCAATCAGCGCTCAAAGCTTAGCGGGAAATGGGAGCGTTTAAAATTTCAGTACCGAATGGTATTGCGGTCGGTACTTTTGACAGCACTAGTTTATTTCATACCACTCCATTCAGTGCATAGCATTCAGTCATTTCTTATTGTCAGCCAGTGATGAAGATGAAACTTATGTTTCTAGTCTATACACATTGTTCCTGTTTATTAACTATACTGTGGTAAGTTTTATAATGAACAGAAATTTTTTTTTTTCACTTCTCATAACAACATAAGATCACATTGTATTTTTTTGCCAGTGCTTTGTGAAAGCAATTTAGTTCAATCTAATATTGTCTTGACTGTGATTGAATTATAGAAGTGTACAGTGTTGAATGTGGCTCGTCATCAGTGTTTTCAGCTTCTCAGAGCGGTTCAGCTCACGGTGCGTGCTGCAAACACTGCATGTGTTTTGAGACTAATGTGAATTTGGGAATGTGATGTGCACCAATTACACTATTTCCACCTTCACATAATTTCCAACATTTTTGCAGACAGTAAAAATAAATTTTGCACAGCAAGGCGGCGGCTAAAAAGTCATGTTAATTTGACAAGCAAATGCTGTCACACTGCATCTACAGTAAAAGCCAGCCGTGATTTGCGATGCAACAAAACGTTCGCTGCACTACACTGCCAGCACACACTCGCTCATTATACAGCACATGAGACGAGCATCTAATGCTATCAGAGGAACACTTAAAACAGCAGCACACCTGCTACATTACACCAGTTATACTCGGTGCACTTTATACATTTATTAGCCTCATTTTAATACAAAAAAACCCCACAAGACATTCAGGAACAAACTTTTTAGCGCTGCCCCGCAATTTTATCAACTAAATAGCTTAATCGCTCTAGAGCTACATTATCTTTCTCAACAAGGAGCTGGTAGCATCATTGTTTCTAAAGGAATTAAAGCCACAGCTTCACTGTTAATAGAGAAACGCGGCAAAACGGTGGTAATTCATACATACAACAGAACGGCTCGCTTTGGACCACACCAGCTTCAGCAAAGACAGCACAATAGGCTTGCCGCGATAGATGGTGCAAAAGGTCTATAAATGCTAATTATTAGTTATATTGTTTTATTTATAATATATGGCTATTAGGCTTGCCGCGATAGACGGTGCTGACGGTTATTCCGGTGTTAAGCCGCAACACCGGTTACGTCACTTGCTCACCGCGGCAGCGACCCCCACCGTCGTTTTGATTTTTTTTATAGTAATAAAAATCATTTAGTTCAGTAAAAGAACAGACACTACAATTAAAAACTGAACGCGGCTGCTCAATGCAGCGTGCCGAACGACAGTTGCATCACAGATCAGATTTCAATTCTCCAGTGTGGAGAGTGAGTCGAGCTGACTGACAAGAAGAGTGGGGTGAGACAGACAAGACGATGGCGGATGATTTAGTTTTGAAACGAGATGCAAAAGCACCTGTTTGGCAATATTCTGGATTTTGAAAAGCCTGTTGACATCTGCCGTTTATCTGAGGTGATTTTGGAAGTTTTTTTTAAACATTCGTATCTTATTTAATTGGTTCCACATTGTTTGCTGATTTTTACTTTATTTAAACTGTGTCATTTATTTATTTTATTTGACATTTGTTTTGCTAATAAACGTTCTACGTTTCTTATTTATTTGGTTATATATTATACATGTTTACTTGTTTCCAGTTTTGTACATTTAAACTTTATGTAAGTTATTTGTTATTTTATATTAGGCATAGCCTGCCCTATAGCATGGTGTATTTTTATTTGTTTTGTTAATAAAAGTTCTATGTTTTATATATAGGCTAAAGTGAGTTTGACGTTGTATTTTGTTGTTGCATTCAAGCAACTGACACCTAACTGCCGCCAATTCAAAAGTGAAAGTAAAATGCGCACGCTGCTTTTAAGCTATTTAAAAGTGAAGGAAAGCGAGGAAAAGAGGGAACACCCCCGCGGTGATATCGGTATTACCGGTGTTGTCACACGTCGATTAACCGGTGGGAAAATTTCCTCACCGTCACAACCCTACAGCACAACTTTCTGCAAGACCACAAGACGCTAAATAAGTACTTTAAACGCATGAATGCAGAACAAATCTCTTAAATAAAAACTGCCAAACTCTCCTGCAAGGCTAGCAAATACATGATTACAGATACATAGAGTTCCTTAAAATCACAATGTTGTTGAAAATGCAAAGAGTAAGGTTTACCGTGCGAGGTCTGAACCTGCATCGATCGCCACAGCCATGAACGAAGCGAAAGAACCGCTTGCTTTAGGCAGCATCTCACTGGCTGAGCTGAAACAAGACTGCTCGGAGTGTTTGTGCTGCAGTCACACTGGGGTTTCATTCCTCAGAACGTAATGCAAGTGCAGCTTGACTACTGCTCAAAGCTACTAAACAAACTTTCCTATGACACTTCACAAAGTAAAAGTAGACCTATGACGATTAAAAACACAAATAAATGAAACAAACTGACATAGACAAAGCTTTATAAATAACTGACCTGCAAAAACACTGTTAATGCAGACAATTTCTCTGAGCAGGAGTGTGCTCTTTCTCTCTATGACACAGTTTCATGTTTGGACAGCCTTTCATGATGACACTCAACTCTTCTAGGGATGCAACGATTATAGATTGTGTTGGTCTGAGGAATAATCACGGTTTCATGGTTATTATGCATTTATTCATTTCACAACATTGCTAGTGTATAAAATCACATGAACACTCTTTAGATTTTAAAGTGTTATTTATTGCTGCCGTTTGAAACAGAAACAACACAGTAACCAACAATAGGCCCACAGCAAAAAATAATAATAATAAAGACAAACAAAAGGCCACCTCTCCTATTCTCATAGGATGAGAAAGGGTGACCGCTGCTCTGTAAACATCCATGACAGTATTTCCCTTTTGAAAATAACTAATGAAAAGTATTTAGTGTTTTCACATTCTTAGAGAACTTGGAAACATGGTGAAAAAAATCTGGTTGGTTTTTGACTTATGAATAAAACAGGGATAATCCATACCAATGTTAATGAAGCATTATTAATATAAGACTAATATTAGCTTTATTTATCCCACAGGGGAAACTAAATGAGGGGAATAAACTGAATTATAATTGTAATCAACTGTCATCCATACGTATAAATTTTAATAATATTTATAATAATTCATATGATTTTACATGTGGCCTGAAAATAATGTCTATTTTGTGAGATCGGAGATCACGCTGCGCACACACAAACGCTGCCCCTCGACTTTTATTAATAAAATAGCTTAGATACTGAATCTCTACATTATATTCATCAGCAACAAGGGGGTTATATCTATGTTTAAGAAACTAAACTCAGCTTTATTGTTTGTAGAGAGACGCGCAGACTATTGTCAGCTCTCTCTTTCTCTCTCTCTCTCTCTCGATCGATCAATCGAATAATTAATTCAAGTAGCTAAATGTTATAATTAATTAATCTGATCTGAAGCGGGCCGTAGCTTTGCGTCAATTGGTTTTGGTTTTTAAAATTGTTCAATGCACAGCTAGCCGTGTATTATCCTAGGGCTATAATATTTTATATTGTTCAGTATCGATAATTACTGACATTTTTTATAACCTTTTTTAAAACAAAGAGCAATAGAAATTTTTTTTTACATTTAACCACTGTATTTTTAAATTAACTCAATTTATTGAGACAAACAACAATTTTTTTGTTTTGTTTTAACAGTCAAACACAATAAAAATTAAACATATATCTAATTTCTAATGTT